TCGAACCTCTATCCTATACAGAACCGTCAATTAATCTGACGTGCTATACCACTGAGCTATAGAGAAGAGTCTGCTTAGCAAGGTCCAAATTACTGTTTTTAAACAACAAATCTTCCAGGATCTTTATATATATATATATATATATATATATATATATATATATATATATATATATATATATATATATATATATATATATATATATATATATATATATATATATATATATATGCTGACCAGGGGTTGTAGTAACTGTTAGGGTCCCAGCTATTGGCAAATAGTGACCACCCCTGCCGGTAAAACAAGACTATGAAAGTATAAAAATACATTTTTATAGTAAAAATACCAGCAACACACACACACACACACACACACACACACACACACACATATATATATATATATATATATATATATATATAATATATATATATATATATAATATAAGACCAATATAATTAATTAAAGCCATAAAATGGTTGAAATTATTTACATTTCAGCATTAAATAACCCATTAACTCATAGTGGTTTATATGCCGCTAAACAAAATCAACCAGCCAGCAAATCAAACAACATGAATGAACTTTCATGACATTAATCCATGTAATATCCTACAATTTCTTAAATCAAATAGTATTCCAAAATATAACTTTAAAAAAAACACACACACATAACACCGCCTCAAGTAATCATATCCACACAAACTTGTATATGAACATAAGTTGAGCATGATCTACCATGTATTCAGTTGTGAAATCAGAATAATATATTTTTGACTTCAATGCTCCAAAGAAAATTAAATTTCGGCATTAAATGACCCATAAGTATTTGATAGGCCGTTAAACAAATCAACAAAATTATGGGACATTAAGTGAGAGCTGAACTTACTACTCAGTAGATCTCTTGTCATTAATCGGGATGTTAACAATATCAGTATCATGGAGAAAGGTTTTATTAAATTCATCCAGGCATTTTAAAATTGCAAGATTTCTAAATTGGATATACATGTATGTTATTGTATTACTCCGTTTAGGAGCACAAAAGATGACAAAAACAGTAAATGTTTAAAGCATGTGTCTGTCTGTGTATCTGTGATTTTTGGCAGTTAGTTTCAATCTGTAAGAAAAGGTGTTCAGGCATTAATGCCAAATGTATTACTGACAATATAATATTATTAATGTGTAGGCTTATCATAATTCACAAGACTTAAACCAGAAGATTCGAGTCTACTGTATGGGCATATTGTGAATTGGGTCTGGACTCTGCAGTAGTTTCCAGTGTGGCCTCTCAATGCCATAATGAAATGCCCCCAGCTACGGCTATACCTTCTGAGGATTTTTCTCGGTAGTTTTCTTCATGTTGGCATGTCGCATTCTTCATCCCGCGCATCTTTCATCCACTTATTACCACTTGCTCTTTCACTAATATCTCAAACTTCATTCATCATTACCATCTCAACTGCAACTTTTGACTGGCTCTCGAGTCTTATACTGAGTGAAAAATTAGTAAAAACTAAATATTGAATGATCTGGAGAAAATTTAGAAAAAACAAAAAAATGTTTATAATAGTTTTAGTTTTCTTGAATAATAAATTGTTTTCATGATTAAAAATGCGCATTAAAGATCAAGACTACAAAAAATGAATATTTATTGTTAATATCACCTGGAAAAAGTAATCCTAATTATAAGATTAATTTTGAATATATGTCTTCATATGCAATGAAAGTTACACCAATCATAATGTTGTGATGATAATACTAATACTCAATGACATTAAACGAAATCACCCACGACGCATTTTTGTTAACTGAATATTCACTAACGATACGAAATTTAAATGAAAATCCTCATCTAGTAAAACACAATGCCGCTTTCTTGCTTTACTATCCCGCATACTCTCAATGCTAACTCAACGAAATCCCCAAGGATCAAAGTGTTGGTGTTGAAATATCTGTTAACTCCGGCTTCGAAACCCATTTGTGCTCGTATCTTCAACAACAATCACGTGTCATTTGATCTGGTCAATCGTCAGTCAGTTTCTCTTTTTCTTTTTGGCTCTAAAATTCAGTCGAGCGAATCTTGATGACGTGGTAACCTTTGCATCCAATGAAAGCTGAGCAAACGAGAAACAGAATGATGAGCAAGACAAAAGGTAAGGATCCTCTCCGCAGAGAGGAATTATTTGCTTACGCGTAAACAACTGTTTTGGGGGTTAGAGTGAAGAATTGCAACATCTGAGATTATTTGTTTAATTAATGGTATAGAGTTACTAAAAGAAATAAAACGGACTTTTAAAACACAATTAATTTCTCTTTTTAATCTCCTTTACGTTGATTCTCTAGTTCATAAAAAATAGTAATATCGCCATAGGGTAATGGTTAATGAGCTCGTCTAGAACATCATTAGAACTGTTAATTCACGGCTAAAATTACTTTTGTAGTTGTGTCAGTAGAGTACAAAAATGCAAGAGGATAAAACATGAATGCCTACATTTTCCTTTTAAAAAAATCCGGCAAACATGGATAAAAGTGCCTGCGATAAGGAAGAGAGTTTTCCTATGACACAAGCTTTTTTTTTAAAAAAAAACCTTCAATCTTCGTCAATCTTTATTGTTTTAAAAAGCGATGATTAGACCTGGAATAAAACTTAAACATATGAAAGTGTTCTTGGAAATTGACAACAAAAATATTAAACACTATTTATTTATATATATTAGATTCATTATTTACATAAATTTATTTATTATATTATTTATTGGTATGTCTGGCAAAATATCAGCTAATTACCAATTGATTCAAACTTTATAAAATGGTAAATAATGTTTTCCTTTATAGTTGGTTCACATATTTTAATAATTTAATAAATGTTTATAAATTTAGGAATAAAAAATTGTTTTGACATTTATTTCTTTATAAATTGATAAATGATAAATATTGCATTACATTAGTTCTATATGTACAGTGTAACCCGGATATAAGAGAAACCCGGATATAAGAGAGATTTTCTCTGGTCCCAAATTAGAGCCTGTGTTAATGTATATAAAATAGACCAAACCCAGATATAAGAGAAACCCGGATATAAGAGACTTCTTCTCCGGTCCCGAAAACTCTCTTATATCCGGGTTACTCTGTATTAATCTTTACAATGTTATAAATATAAAATTATTCTTGTTATAAACAATGTAATAAATAGTGTTTAATATTTTTTTATTGTAAATTCTCAAGAGTAAAACAAATATATAAATTAATTTTCATCATGTGTTTAGATTTTATTCCAATTCTAATCATCGCTTTTTAAAACAATAAACATTACCGAAGAGTGAAGATAGTTAAAAAAAAAAATGTCATGGGAAAAACCATCCTTTTAACACTACGTCTTATTAAAGGGCACGTTTATCGATGTTTGACTCCTTTGAATTCTTTGACCCCTCCCGACGCTGGCAATCATGGCTCTCCACATATTTTATTATATATGAATACTTCAAAAAGACCGTGGAGTAGTTTCTCGTCGTCTTCTCCGGGATTCTGAATTTAGAGTAAATAGTCTTTATCCTAGACTGGCTGTCATCAAATGCTAGAGAGGCTATCAACCCTGCTATTCAGATGGTCTAAATCTGAGATTCCTAAAGTGTGTGGGACACTCTCCACAACACCTTCGTGAGAGTGGAAAGATCCAGGAAGCGGACGTGATAAGTGATAAGGCCGCAATAGGGGTCGTTTAATCGATGCTACAAAGGATGCGATAGGGGGGGTCGTTTAGAAAAAAGAAATGGTATGATGGTATTAGAATCAATAATTTTTCCTTTATTTCTTTTTTTTTTAACAAAATCTCTGACAAAATCTAAGTCACTTACACTAAAGAAACACGGATGCTTTACAAAGACTTAACATAAGAATTATACAGAGGCGCATGGTTTCATTTTATTTTGTTGTCCGAATTCCAAAGTCTGAACATTTGTTTACATGTTATTTGGACAAGACGCGCCACACCTCATCCAAATTAGACAGTCGACGTTTGTAGGAGCTCTAGATCTGTGTGACAATACAGCCAAGGATATTCATCTGGTGCCGGATTAGGTGTTTCGAATTTGCAATATATCTAATACCAAGAAAGAAGTTACGGAGGTGGAGGGATTAACTAGAGAGGGCTAGGAAAACAAAGAGACAACAGGTTGGAAATTTTTGGAAAGCACTGATCAAAATGGAATGACAGACCTATTTGTGGGTTGTCTTGCAAGCATACAATTACTGTTGTAATGAATTTGATTCTTACAAGTTCCCTCCACATTATGGAGCTTGGTGCTAAAGCTTCATAAATACCAATAAAACTAATTCGAACATTGCTCCACTCTACCGCCTGTTACCATAAAAGACAACATTTCATCTGTCTACTGATAACTGATTTACGGAAGGAGAGAGGCTATGTTATCACAATTATTTTTTATATTCAATTTCATTGCAGTAGTTTAAAGAATCACATTTTCACCCTTATATTTATTACCCTTCCTTAAGGGCCATGCGTCTTATACTCTTGGGCGATCGTGTCCCTTTTCGATTCATGATTGACTTGGTAGAAGAATTCACACAGTAGGCTGCCGTTATATTCTGCGGTAGACTGGTTGCCAACCAAGGCTACAGGACCCATATCTGTTCTTTTATTTACTTATAGCTGGAGAGAGAAGGGATGAATTCATACCTTTCCGAAGGATATTTGCAATTGAATGTAATGGACTCGACTGGAATTCGAACTCGGCTCTCCCATTTCTCATTCTGGGTCGTGTGGTTACATCACACCGCCCGCCCTCATAGCACTTGGTATTCCCGAGCGGCCACCCATCTATGTACTGACCAATCTCAACGTTGCTTAATTTTAGTGATTTAGGAGAAGAAGAAATAGATATATACATTTCCCAAGGATATTTGCACATCAATGAATTTAATAGACTCGACTGCAATTCGAACTCGGCTCTCCCATTTCTCATGCCATCACACCACCTCAAGCTTACAGCACTTGATATTCTCAAGCGGTCACCCATTTAGGTACTGATGAGGCTCAGCGTTACTTAACTTCAGTGATCGAACGAGAAGCAATGTTTCAACGTAATGTTTGCCGTAGTAAATATAAGTTAAGATTTCCTTTTATATGACTACTACAATCCATATAGTAATGGCGTATCAGATTGGCCTTCGTAGAATTAGACAGCTGTTGTCCATTTGGTGCTTACCTTTACGGAACGAAGGACTTTATACATATGTTTCTATTTTCATTATGACTGTCATTTATAACTAGCTGTTTGTGTATGCCATCATATCACGAATAGGATTTGTTAAACACTGACGTAAACATTTTCAGTCGCTCTAATAATTACGTAATTACACAGCAGAATTCTGGCGGTAGGCAAAAATGAACGGTGGCATTTTGGCGCTGAATGCAAGCGAATCCAATAAATAGGCTTTAAACATTTCTTATTGTTGCCCACTGACATTACTGCTACAGCCCTTTTATTTGGTCGTTTTAAATTAATAAACTAGAAGTTCTGGCGGTAGTGAACTGAATTTGTTGAATCGAGTAAGCATTGAATTATACAAATTTTGATACGAAAGTAAATTTTAATCGCACGTTTTTATTGCTGATCAAGGTTTAAAACACAGGTTTATCTGTGGTCGTGAATTAGTGAAAGCATTACTTTATTGATAAAGATGCTGGGAAAATGGCCACTTTATTGTAAAACTCCAGTAAGTATCTGAAACCACACTTGACATACTCTATCTTTACAAGAGCTAGATTAGACCGAAATTGGAGTGTTTGCTACCATATCTGGGGTAGCAAATTCCTCAGTTGAATGTTTGATAGAGTTCAAAAGTGTCTACGCGGCCTTGTGGGTGATTAATTATTTTCTACCCTACAACCACTTTAACAGGGACGAAAAGTCACAAGGGTTTCGCTACTCTCTCACTTTTTCACACCAGACTCCCAGCAGAACTCGTACATACGATGCATTGTTGAAGATAATGAAAAAATGTTCTCTCTACCTCTCCAGTGAGTATCTGACTCCTCCTGATATGCTCTACTTTTACAAAAACCAAATCAGGCCGAGAATGGAGTACTGCTGCCATATATGGGCAGGAGCTGCCCAGTCTTGATAGAGTCCAAAAGTGATTCCGCGTCCTTGTGGCTGATGAATTATTTTCCACCCTACAACACCTTTCTCACGGACGAAACATTGCAAGCCTGTCTCTACTCCATCGCTATTTCCATGGCACGTGTTCTGACGAGCTATATTCCTTGGTTCCACCAACACTGACCTTTGCAACTAGGACCCGCCATGCCACATACACAAGCATGAATCATCCTCATTCATTTTATATTCCATTAGTAAGAAGGAAGTTCCACTCGAAAAGCTTCTTCCCAAGAATTGCTGCTTTGTTAAAAAGACTACTGGCAGGATGTTTTCCCGATCATTACAATCTTCACCTCTTAAAGTCTAGGGTTGACCGTTATCTTTTCTACATACCATCTTGAACGGTACTTTTTGCCTTTTTTACGCTGAGGCAACACTACACAGTAATCCTCTACCTTAAGTGGCTCTTGGGTCTTGTATTAGGTGAGAATTAGTATAAAATGGACCTTAGATATAATAGATACTCATTTGAAGAAATGATTTGTAAATTCCGTCATAAAAAATATTCATTGAAAAAATGTTTTCTCATTTTCTTTCACTCCCAGTAACACCTTGCGTCTTAGTGGCATTATCACCTTGCTTGATTAGAAATCACTAAAAACAAATTAAGTAACGGGGTTGTAAGTAGTTAGAAATTAGTAGAAGCGTTACTAAACGAATGTTACAAATCTCTCTCTCTCTCTCTCTCTCTATATATATATATATATATATATATATATATATATATATATATATTATATAGAATAAAAACCCAAAGTTACCTCATTCGAATAGCTATTTCGAGCCACTTTACTTGTAGGTCTTGTCAACTCTTGTCATATATATATATATATATATATATATATATATATATATATATATATATATCCACCATAACTTTTCTTTTTTTTTTGGCTAAAGATGCATCTTAACATTAAACAAATTTCAAAAACTTTAGCAGATCCGTTACTTCACTCCCTTGAACATTCTACTTTTATGTTATGTGCCTCTACAGGACGTGAACGATAATAGCTCTCCTCAACTTCCTCTTATTTCTAGATCTAAAGAATGATTTTCCCTTAGTATCCTATCCCAGTCCCTGTTTTGACATCCTTCCACACAAGTTAAGTTAGGCAGGTTACTTGCTGTTTTCCTCTGTCCCTCTTGCCTTCAATATGACCTGTGAGTGTCAAATTCTCCAAGGTCACTTTTTTATTTTACATCGCAGACATATCAATTGTCTTTCTGATTCTAAGTACAAGTTCTGTTTTCATTCCCACTTTCCTTAAAACTTCTTTGTTGCTTTCATTTTCTGTCCATGGTATTTTCAGTGTTCCTCTTTATAATTACATCCCTGTTGACTCAAATCGCTTCTTCATCTTGAGGAAATTGTCCAGCATTCACTGCCAAAGAGGAGGATTGGTATTACACAACAATTGATCACTTTTTTCTTTTTTTTTCTTTTTTTTTTTTTTCTTTTGTTACCAATGAAATTTTCTCGCTTCGAAATACTTTGCTTATCTTTTAGAAGGCATCTTTCGCTCTTCCAATGCAACTTCGGAATTCTGTCTCACATTCTACATTTATTATTTCACCACTGTCAAGTAACAATAAATTCTGTTGACAAATACGCCAAAGTTGAAATTTAGTGTATCTAGATGCAGAGATGTTTATTTTTTTTTTAATAATTAAAACTCAACATGCGTTGGCACATATGGTAATCAAAAGAATCAAGAACACTACCTTCTCCAATTTAAAATACTATTTATTTATTTATTTTAATTATTTATTTTTTATTTTATTTATTTATTTATTTTGTTTTTTGTTTTTTCTTTCGCGTCTGATAGGAGGATATCATGTATAAACTTAATTAATAGGCGAAATACAGAATAAAAGAAAATGAAAATTATTGACTTCAAAATCGCAATGATATATGGTGCAGATGTATGAAGTACTTATGAGAAACTGTACGATAGCCGAGAAGCCATAAATTTTGCGAATTTTGGATGTACAGTAACTCTCTTTTCGCATCATTTTTATGACAAAAGAAAAGTGATTTTTCAAAGCCTCTTTCTTCTAACATCGTCAGCCAACTGTGAAGATAATGAGTGCTCTCATGCGCAAATTAAGAGCTACTATTTGGGATGGGTATTATGACGCATTTGGTAAATAATGATAGATAATAAATAGAATAGATAATTTTCACCTGTCGGATCTTACAACACTTGACTCACTGTATATTGAAAGGCGCTCTGACCTGGGTTAAAAATTAAGATTTTTAATCCAGTCTTTTACACAAACGTGAAATACGTTAACATTTTGAATAGCGTTTCAGGTCTCTTCTGCTGTCTCATTTCGTCGTATTTACACATACTGTTCAAAATTATATTACGAAGAAAGAAACTTGAATAATCATCTGAAGTATCGACATTATAAAACTGGTTATCAGCTAATAGTAAATGTTTTATTTTTAGCATAAAAATGCCCTGTACCTTCAGTACGTAGACAATCATGGCTCTAGACGACTTCATTGTGTTAATTATCATGACAAGATAGTGGTTTTGGTTTCCTGTTACCCGCTCGACGGCTTTTAATTCAGAGTCGTCATTCTCCTACATCAGCTGGCAACCAAGGCTAGTGAGAATAGTTTATTCTACTGTTTTACCCAAAGCTGGAGGAAGAATATATAAATTCATGAATTTCTCAAATAAACGCAACAGACGAGATTGGAATTTGAGCTCAGCCTGCTGATTCCACTTTATACACAAATAATCGTTAATCTGCACATCGCCAGAGCTACAAAGGACAAAAAGTTGTAAAAAGCCAACTTTCCGAAAGGACACGGCACACAAAATATGACCAGATTTCTCTCCCCGTAGTTGTAAAGTCTCCGTAAGTGATCACGGCTCTCCACTATATCCTATCCTTTGTGGCACTTAGTAAAGTTTGTCCTTTTTTTCTATCATTCCTAATCCTTGTTCTGCCAACCATTTACACAAGATGGTTAGGTAGGTTATGCACTGCTTTCCTTTCTTTCTGTTTCCTTCAGTATGTCTTGTGAGTGTTAAATTTTCTAAACCCCCTATCCTCATTATTTGCAATAAAAATTTCAACTACTTCTTTCTAATGCTAAATATGGGTTGCGGCAGAAATATCTCCCACATATACCTCCCAGAAATTCGTTCCACATAATAATAAGAGATTAACTAGATGAAGACACCATTGCCACTAATGTCATACGAATGATATTGCATAATAGTCCTGTACTATTTTCTTTGTTTCTAACTAAATTTTCCTGATTATTAATAACTAGCAGTAGAGCCCGGCGTTGCGCGGGGATGTAACAGTAAGAGATAGATCAAGTATCGACCATCATAAAGATGAAAAAATAAAATTGACAAAGATTATTGTTTAAGGTTGACGGACACGCATGTTAATTTTTTTTTTGTTTTTTTTTTACGAATTGGTCAAACCCAAACTCAAACAAAAACATTGTTTTCAATCTACCGATTGAATAGAATTTTATTATAAACAATTGTCTTGTAAATGGAATTTTTAAAGCATTCTGTATGTAAAAATAAAGACAAAAGTGTGCAAGACAATAAGAAACACTACCTGCCCCCCCAAAAAGTGAAGTTTTGTTGAAATCGATTGAAAAATGTAGGAAATCCGATCCCATTATAAACGAACACACACACACACACACACACACAAACAACCTGGGTTTTATAATAAGTTTAACTCGATATGAGTTGTCCCCCTTTCATTCTCGTGATGCCTCTTAATCGTGTTTTCAAATTGATTCGTGCAAAAACAATTGTGTTTTTTCCAATTTTTGGCGCTGTCAGAACCACCGCAAGGTAATTTTACGTAGTTCTGTGAAGTTTTGTTGAAATCGGTTGAAAAATGTAGGAAATCCGATCCAATATATAAACGTACA